AGTGGGGGCAATTTATGAGAATATCTGTGGAAGGTGTTCCAGTTAGAAGGGCCAACAAAAGCAGAGAGGAAGAAGGCTCTTTCTTGGCTTGTTTGACTCTTGCCTGGGTGGTTGATTATTCTAACTAAATTCTAGATACACGGGCAAAATGTTTTTTTTCCAATCTTTTTTCTATTATGTTGGGCTTTTATTAGTCTAGTAGTGAGGATTTTTTTTTCTTGGCTGTAATCTTATTTATTTAAAGATCATTTTTATTGGGGGCTCTTACAGCTCTTATAACAATCCATACATCAATTGTATCAAGCATATTTGTACATAACATTATTTTGTAAACATTTACAGTCTATTTGAGCCTTTGGTATCAGCTCCTCTTTTTTTTTAAAAAAAAATCATTTTACTGGGAGCTTGTACAACTCTAATCACAATCCATCCATCCATCCATTGTGTCAAACACATTTGTACATTTGTTGCCATCATCATTCTCATAACATTTACTTTCTACTTGAGCCCTTGGTATCAGCACCTCATTTTTCCCCTCCCTCCCCGCCCCCCCCATGGATCCTTGATAACTTATAAATTATTATTATTTTGTCATGTCTTACACTGTCTGACGTCTTCCTTCACACACTTTTGTGTTGTCCGTCCCCCAGGGAGGAGGTTATATGTAGATCCGTGTGATCGGTTCCCCCTTTCTACCCCATCTTCCCCTTATCCACCTGGTATCGCTACTCTGATAATTATAGGTCCTGAGGGGTTTATCTGTCCTGGATTCCCTGTGTTTCCAGTTCTTACCTGTACCAGTGTACATCCTCCGGTCTAGCTGGATTTGTAAGGTAGAATTGGGATCATAATAGTGGGGGGGAGGAAGCATTAAAGAACTAGAGGAGAGTTGTATGTTTCATCGTTGCTATACTACACCCTGACTGGCTCATCTCCCCCAACCCTTCTGTAAGGGGGTGTCCAGTTGCCTACCAATGGGCTTTGGGTCTTCACTCCGCACTCCCCCTTGTTCACAATGATATGTTTTTTTGTTCTTTGATGTCTGATACCTGATTCTTTTGACACCTTATGATCACACAGCCTGTGTGCTTCTTCCATTCAGCTCCTCTTTTTACCCTCCCTCCCTTCCA